AGGGAGCCTCACCTATAAGCCTTCATGGCTTTTTGAGACTTCCTCGCCTTTTCCTTATTCTATTTTCTATTCCTCGTGTATTATTAAATTAACTTTGTTCCCCGTTTAATATATAATAATGGTAAAATGATAAATAAACAAATAAATAATATATGCAAATATACTAAGATGAATTATCTACTGATTTGTTCTCTAGCTTTGCTAACTGACAAATTTGTGAAATGTTTTCTTCACTTCTTTCATACTTACCTATGTTAGAATTATTGTCATCAAGTTATTGTTATTTATTTGTCTATTTATTTATTTTTGTATTCAAAGACACACTCTTTACTAATTCACAAACCTCACGTAATGCGAAGTGACTAGTATAGTCATAATATATATAGTGGTATATTCTTTGACATGTACTTAAAGTGGAAATGGTACTGCGAGAAATGAGTGATCACAACCTTTATTTTGCTCAGGTCACATCAAGCCATCCAAATCTTTATATCAAAACGGATTCCTCAAAAGAAAGAAAAAAGAAAAAAAATCGCACCGTCACGTTTTAAGAGATTCATTTTATCTCCCATTTACCTGCTTAACTCGTAATGCCCCATCTTCTAAGAGAAATCGTTTTTCCGTGACAATAGACATTAAATTTGCCCACAGGAAAGATGCCATGGGAAAAGAGATAACGGCCTTATTGTTTTGGCAGTATTGTGAGATTAATAATATCTATAGAGGAAGAGAAAGAGGAACAAAAACAAAAGTTTCTTCATAGGTGCTAGTAATGTTTCTCTGGGGACAGAAGGAAATTTGCTCCCTGGTTCTTGAGCAGCAGACGTAGCGTAACCAATGGGTTTCTCGGGATCCCCAAAGGTTTTCTGAATTTCCTTGTAAAAACATGGGAGCTTTTTCGTGCACTTCTTTATGACAGAATTAACATACCACAAGTACCACTTACAAAGACATTAATCTCTTGCTCTTACGCTATAGATAATATTAGTGCCTTTTCAGGCCTCTTATATAAGGTGAGCTGAATGTAAGTGACGGAGTTTTGAGGAGTTTTTCTAAACTATTAAGGCCAACAAAGTTGTTCAGTTAATTTCCTCGCTGCATGTCTTACTTCCCTCATTTTTTTTTGGTTGTTTTTTTGTCTTTTTTTATGAACGCGCTTTCATTTGACTGCATTTGTTTCGACATGGAATGATTCTATGATTGTGACAAAAGTCTAGGATCTTCCTAGAAAAACTGATCGCCACCATGTTTAGTAGAAGGGACTCGTTAGTGAAACTAATTAAAATCTTTTTATGGCTTTTTTTTTAAACTTGACCTTACACACTGTTCAATGCCACGGCAATCACTTTCAACTAAGTGACCACCCGAAACTTTCTATTATTTACTCAGAATGCCTGTGTGGAAGCGTAAAAACAAAACATCGTGAACGGCAAGGGAGCTTACAACCTTAGTAGCAGTTGTATTTTCATCAGTAGTTCTGGCGGTTTCTGTAGTCATTCACCTCTTTTAAACAACCACCCATGTTTCAAGCCAGATTGGAAAAGTCTCGAAGAAATTTAATTTGGTTGTCTTGATTGGCAAATTTTCAGTTCGTTAGCTGTTCTATAGATTTCTTTGCTTTGAAGATATATAATAGTTGTTATGTTTTCGAGGCAGCGGAGAATAGAGAGCAGTTTCCACAGTGAAAGCGGAGGAAAGAAATCCTAGGGTTCATTGTATCAAGAAAAAAACATTGAGTTATATTGAAGCAATTTAAAGCTGGGATGAGTCAGCAACGAATGTTGAGAGAAAGAAACGATCTATCAAAGCTGAATTGATGAGTGCTGAACAAAAACAAGGAAAAATAAATATCAGTATCTAATGAATGTGGTTCTCAGTGATTATAATTTATAGCCATTTAAGAGGTTACGAAAAATGGAGAGCAAAAAGAGCTCAGAATTGGTATGAATCATTGATGGTAATACGAAACAGTGTATGAAGAAAAATTGGCAATAAACATGATATGTAAACAATACGAGTATCCCAACTGTGCATGGAAAGTTCTTTGTTTTTGCGCTCTGACATTCTGGCCAAATGAATTGATGGAAAGACTCCACTAATCATTTAATTACAAGTTATTGCAACACCATTGAAAGTTCTGCACTGTCAGATCCAAAAGCTAAACCCATAACAATTAAAAAGACCCCTTTAAACTTTACATAAAATCAGATTAGTTCATCTGATGAGAAGAAAATCTTAGGCTTTCGCCGAGATTTTCATAATGATCCATTCCCTTATAAATTATATAAACCAGTCAGAATGATGGAGAATATATCTACAGATGGAAATCAAAGAACAGCCGAAGTTATATTTGGTACAGGAATAAATTAGATGGAAATCAATTGGTTTATACAGCCATTTGCATTGCCGGCATTCTGGTAAACACCCTTATCCTTATTGCACTGCGTAGGGTTCCGTATTGAGCTCTACACCCACCTTCAAGGGTCAATCACTTCTTCTGAAAACCTCGCTTTGCAGGATTATCCAAATTAAGAAAATAAGACGAAGGTCAGTTACAGCGAAAGTGGTACGCATAGATACATGCTCGGGTTACATCTGCTGGACTTAAACTAAAGGAAAATCTAATGTATAATGCATTAAAAGAAAGGTTACAAATTTAGCAGTCTTTTTGTCCCTAAATTCTGCTCAAACTCCTATAATATGCTCTTGGAAAATACGGGAGGTTAGGCAAGCACTGAAAACGGCGATGGGACAGTTCGTTTGGCTGCCTTTCCTAACTGACTGCTTTGTGAAATTCTTAAAAGTTATCTTAAAGAACGCAAAACTTATTTCTCACAGCATTGAATCATTTACTACAGGGAGCTCTGAGATGAAATTAATCAGAAAAATACCTTAGGTTTTGGCCGAAATGAAGGATCCAGGTTACTTGATAACACAACGTCGAATTCAGATTAAGACATTTTTACAGAGACGACGCAATTATTTTAAAGAGGATGGAAAATTCATCTGGAAACGGAAACCAAACAACACCTCAAAGTTATGTCAAGTGCGAAACTCCTTTGGATGGATATCAATTAGTGATTATGTCAGCATTTGATGTGGCGATTTCCATCGCAGCTATTTTAGGAAACGTTCTGATTCTCGTTGCATTTCGGAAAGTTTCAGCTCGAGTTCTTCACCCACCTTCGAAACTTTTGTTCGAGTGCCTTGCATATAGCGATCTTGGTGTGGGCCTCGTTCTCCAACCTCTTCGTATCATCTCCTACAATTCTTATGAAAACACCGAGTCTTGTTTCTATGGTTTACTTGCATCTTGGATAGTTGGAAATATTTTATTTGGAGTTTCTCTCCTTACACTAACTGTAACAGGTGTGGATAGACTTCTCGCCCTTACATGTACACTTGGGCTAAGATATAGGCAGGTAGTGACTTTAAGACGAGTGAGATTAGTTATAGCCTGGTGTTGGCTTTGTAGCAGTGTAATTGGAATGGTTTCCCTTTACAACTTTAAAATTGCTTTCATAACCTCGTTGATAGGCATAGTGCTGAGTGTAGTATTCTCGACTTTCTGTTATATTACGATTTGTAAAGCTTAGTCATCACCAAGCCCAAGTTCAAGATCATATCCACCACGGACAACATAACAATAGGGAAAGCCAACTAAATGTTTCGCAGTACCGAAAGACAGTGAAAAGTGCTCGGTGGGTTCAACTGACGTTGCTTATTTGTTTTCTTCCTTTTGGCGTTGAGAAAACGCTCTTTGCTAAGGACGGATTCGAGTCATCGATTCTTTCCTACGTAACAGCATCTTTTGTGTCGTTAAATTCTGCTCTAAATCCAATAATCTATCCTTGGAAAATAACGGAGGTTAGACAAGCAATTAGAGCGACGACAGAAGACCTTTTTGAAATTTGAGTTTATTGCCTGTCTCGTAAACTTCTCAAAGAGCCATTATGTAGAAGGAAAAAGCAGTTTTGTCATATGAGAGGAGCACAAAAATCCATAGACGTAATTTCATGCGAACACCACGTTTTCTACTTGGTATGGGAGTAGAGATCCTCGGGTGGATTGTCACAGATTACAGGAAAAAATATTGTCTATATTTTCAGCAAAGCCCTTTTTAGTTAATAGCCTCTGATATGGAGATATATACTCTTGGTAATTAAGTTTAGTACTTAATGACCGAAATACACCTGAAATTAGTTGACGGAGTAATGACATCATCTGCTCTTGGAATGTAAAGTTAGCACATTCATTATTTATTAAAGAAATATCGACTTCCGCACTAAAATCTCATCTGCAATCGGAGAAAACCATTGAAAAAAAAATAAAATGGCTCTTCTAGATAGGTCTAAGCACATAATGATATGTTTTGAAATGTGATCTGTATATTAAATCTCGCAAATTACCGAATAGCCTTAATTTAATCAATTCACCATGCGGGTCACGCAAACACTGCGCTTTATGCGTGGCTCGGGAATTCAAATACCTAGATTGATTTCTACAAGTACAGGAAGGATATTTCCTTTAATATTTTAAAAGTGTATATTGTTATTAAACGAATAACCGTCACCTCCGAAAAAGCGCCACGCATACATGGTCCATTGAAAAATGACGGAGTGGTTAACGAGTGTCTCTTTCTTTCGTTTTTTATTGTCATCACACCTCTTCCGTGCATTATGGCAGTGGCCTTATTCAGCTTTACGGCTGAGAAATAAAAATGATCTTTGAATCGTCGTAGGATATCATCAGATGGACCAAGGTGCATTAGATGTCCATTATTTGATTACGTGAGGCGACTAAGATTACGATCTCGTTGAGACAGCTGCAAGTGAAAATTAAGATAATAATGCATTTACGATGAGTCATTAATCCAATATTCTCACAAGTTCTATTCATTTAAAACACTGTGCATATAGCATTGGATTTCAACGAAATAAAGGCAAAAAAACTTCTTACAGCGAACGAAGCAATTAAAAGGGTAAGCTTTACTCATATATATGCATTTCGACATTATTTTCATGTTGCAATTGTTCGGTTTAATCATGATATCTTGAGAGCAAATACATTTCTACGTTGACTACTCAGGCTCACATAGTTTATTGTTCCTTTATAACCAACCGTCGTGAGTTACATATAATCATACCATTTATAAGCACGAATGACACTGAGTGATTTGGGGGAAATTCTCTGATTGAAAAGCTGAAATTTCTCGCCTACGAAATGCCATGCTAAATAACCTTTTCCTACTCACTAAAATCTTTGCAGACTTTTCACTTCTGAGCGAGCTCCTATAAGCAAACCACAAAAATTGGAAATGATGACACAAGCTCTGGAAACATCGCTCATTTTCTTTTCTTTTTGATTATTCATAAAAAATAAAAAAAAAGAAAGGCTATATTTTTGTTTGCTTAGTCTTGAAATTTTAATCAGAATGAGAAAGAGTTTATATTCTCTTGGACTGAGTGATATCTGGCATCAACTCCCCAATGGAGTCTCTGAAAATAAGAGTGCACTTCTACTTATAACCCTCAGTAAAAAAAAAAAAAAAAAAAAAAAAAAAAAAGAAGCAGGTCACAGTTTGTGTCATTTATTGAGTTGATGCATTTTTTTTTAATGGATCTACTCCGTGTATGTCAAGGATAAATATAAATTAATCTCGAAGTCGACGTTTATTTGCATAATTTTTTAGAAATGCTCCTACATGAATGGAAGTTTATTTAAACTAGATAATTAACTCTAAATCAGTTAAATTTGCAAGTAATTTTGAAAAACAGTCTTCGACACAAAATATTTCGTATTTTTTTTTCGATGGAAGAGACACGAAAGGTATATTTATATAATTTTACACCTGCGTTTTAGCTTTCCGAACTTGACGCCTAAAACGTTGAAGCAAACATTACCAGCTGACGAACCAAGTTGTCCTTTAGTTTAGGAAAAAGTAGAAAATAGATCTTATCAACTTCTAATTAATAATTTTTGATTTTTTTTTTACGTGATCACTTTATAGATGGACATGAATAGCAAATAAGTTTTGAAGGACAAGAGACCTGAACTAGGGTGTAAATGGCGAATGCAACAGGGGATGTACCATTAAGATCATTTTTTTCCTGCTCCAGTGATCCGAAAGGACTACTAATCTACATTCTGTCATTCGTGAATGTTCTTATAGCGATCACATCTTTTCCTGGAAACCTCTTGATAATCGTCGTTCTTCGAAGGATTACATCGATTCATCCACCATCAAAACTTTTATACAGCTCTTTGGCTTCCACCGATCTTTGCGTCGGCATCATATTACAGCCTTTGTCAATTGTTTATTTGTTGTCTCTAGAGGTCTCCGATCTCTGTAGCCATATTGGATCCACCCTCTCAGCTGTAGCCTTGGCCCTTTGCGGAGTATCTTTGCTCACATCCACTGCAATTAGCTTTGACAGATTTTTCGCCCTGAAACTTGGGATAAGATACAGGCATTATATAACAAAGGAGCTGATCTGGGCCTTCGTATTTATTTCTTGGCTTGTTAGCTGTGGCAATGCAGTCATATATCTATACGAAAGTGATGTCTTTGCGTATACAACCACTGCAGCTGTGTTTTTGTGCGTATCAACGTCAGTGTTTAGTTACGTAAAAATCTACCGCGCACTTTGCTACCATCAAACGCAAGTACAACAACGGCTACATCTCCAGCAGCCCAATAGAAGAGTTATTCCAATCAATATTGCGCGATACAGAAAGACGGTGTCCAGTGCGCTCTGGGTATCGGCAGTGCTGGTAGCATGTTATCTACCATTCGTCGTAATTATCTTCACAGCTTACTCCTCTGGCATACACTCACCTGTTCTTGCCTTAGCCGCGGATCTAGCAATAACTCTTGTTCAGTTGAATTCTTCTCTGAATCCATTATTGTATTGCTGGAAAATTAAGGAAGTAAGACGAACAGCGATAAACTCACTCAAGCAATTCCTCTGCTGCTAAAGTTTTGTTGATTAATGTAATTTACTCTTGTTTGCCTTTATCCTTTTAAGATCGCTTCCTTTCAAAGAATGCAACGGTAAATTGTGCAAATGTTATAACGTAAGAGAATGAATTGAAGATATTTCCAAAAAAAAAAAGGATAAGAAATTGGTATGCGCCTGCAAATTTTGACTACTTGTAAATTGCCCAAATTACCACAATAAGTATGATCGGCAGTTCTGTAGTAAAAACCAAGATGGTAATTTAGCTGTTGGTTTGTTCTTCAATTCCCTTGCTTTTCAACTTCTTCGCCTTCTCTTGTTTCCTTGGCATAAGGAGTTAAGTTAAATGAATGCAATCAGTTCTCTTCAGAGAAAGTCACGGTGCAACTAAAGTCGAGGATGACAACCAGTAGAGCATTTTTGAGTACTTTTTAAGGCAATTGACGACAGCTATCAATTTAACACATATATACATATATCATAATTTGCATGTAAATAGCTTTTAAGTCATTTTTCACAGAGCAAATGCTTGTCCGCAAAGCATTTTACAGGGAAGAATTGAGACATATTTACCATAAAGCGAACAAAAAGCGTTGGAAAAATAACCACGATGCTTTCAAGACCGCCATTGTATTCCAGGTCAGAGACATTTTCTGTCGGATTATATTGTGGAAAAATTACCCAAATCTTGGCCAATACGATGACAACAAAAAAAAAACCGATAGATTATAAAACAAAGCTGCATGGCGGCTTATCTAATTTAAACTAAAATGATAACTATTCGAATGATTATGACTAAAAGGACCAAATGTACTCCAATTTAGTATTACTCTATTTGTAAAATTGTTCTGAAAATCTAGTAGAGTAAGTATTTTAACAGCTGCATGTTCACTTGAAGGTCAGTTTCACATAATGAATATGAGAAGTGAGACTTTTGCCATTGGGAGATCTCGTTGGTGCGTTAGTATCAGTCTGAAGAAAAACTTATTCAGTGGGAAAGATTTACTGATGCTCCGAAAGAAAGGTGAACTTGAAGGATCTACTCGATGATTTCTTAATTTCTGATCAAGGTTGTACTTAATGGCTTACTTTTATTAACTTGAAATACCATTAAAGGAAACTAAATAATAGTTTTCAGCAATGGAAAAAATGGAAAGTCGTTATTTTAAGTTTTTTGATCGAATGTGTCCGATGCACATGTACACTTCTCGAGTCGCGATTATTCAGCCCCCAGAAGTAACAAGAACATACGTTGAATAACGTCATCTTCGATAGAAAGGCTTAGGTAAATTCGTAAAATATATGAAGGGTGTAAATTTCTAAAGAAATTGTAGTGCTGTGTCAGGGGGGAATATTACAAGATGATTTGTAATTATCAACTGAGTTGATAATGTAAATTGGCCACCGCAAGAATTTCTAAACCGTTTTTAATTTCTAACCGTCTTCGTCATTCGCTCTGACGAAGGACTAACGCTCAAAAACGTCAGCTTTAGAATCTTTTAACGGAGGCCAATTTACATCATCAACATCCTTGATAAAACCAAAATATTGTGGGTGAATTAGATTCCGTACACGCTCTTAATTTTAGCGATCAAACCAGGGTCAAAGAGGCGAGAGGCGACTGCCGCGATTCCCAGTAGGAAGATCTATGTTTGTGTTTCAAGGATCCTGCGTTACAAATGGGTGGAGGAGAAGGTCTCACACAAATAAAGACTAAAGTTCTATTCAAAGATAGACTTTATATCGATTGATAATCATGATTTTTATAATTTTCCAGTGAAAAAAAAAAAAGTGAAGTAGGTCATTTTATATTGAGAAATAAGCATTCCTCCCAAGCATAAGACGTATTTCGTGCCGTGAGAGCTTCTATAGGGGAAATAAGAAAGAAATTTACATTACAGGCAATTAATGTGCGACAAAAACAAGCATTGTCCATGTTTATTGAGGAAGTCCATTATTTAAATGGCCTTATGGTTATTTTGACTGTGAATTCACCTCGGTAAACGTTTGCTCTGACTGACTTCTTCTTTGTGTTTCATACTCTGGTGAGGTGGATTTTCATGGGCAGCAACAGTGAGTAATTTTTCACCAAAATTTTATAACTAGAATCATTATTGGCGTGACTGGATCTGTAATTATAGGTGAACAAATATCTTACAAAAACAAAGACTCTAATCATAAAAGCTAGATCTCTGCTTGAAGGGAAAACGATTGTAAACTGAGCAAATGTTATATTTCATTATGCAGACGTGATCTTCATCGAAACACCCTGATTATTGTGCTAATTGCAATAAGCGACTTTCACAACAAGAAATAATGCAAAGTACCTTTATTTCGACTGAATCTCTTATGATTAAAAAGACGTTTTGCGGCTGCAAAGCTTTCTCAATCTATTAATTGTCCATTATCATTTATACCTTAATTTATTATTTTTTATTTTCGTTTAAATTACAAAATTTTATATATCAAGGAATGGTAAAAACAAAAATTTTATCATTTCACGACATTTGCGCATGTTTTCAGTGTACACTATATTGTGTTGAAAAAATTTAAATTCATATCTTATTTAGTCACCAGATAGACATCTCAGGGCTTTTGATTTGCAATTGGTTACCAACACGCTCGAAAGACACACCAGTAAATGGCTCCCTAAAGCGGTAAATTGTTAAAAAAAAAGTTATCAAGAGACAATTAAGAGCCAATAAGTCACGAATATACAAAGAAACGAAACATGACAGCATGAATTAGTCGTCTTGTCAGTCGTTTCCTGCCAATATACTCAATTCTCCAACAAAATCGAAATTAAAGTGAGTTATTATTGACATGAAGTTACTGCTGACGTGCAGTTTGGTTTGTCTCTTGCATTATTATTTTGAATTGTTAAAATCAAGCATTTCACAACTGGCATGGTGCTTGTTGAATTGTGAACAGAATTGGCAAATTTGAATAGAAACATAGATGTTATCTTATGAATGACGCCCATTTGCAATTCAAGAAATTTATTAGGACAACAATAAACTAATAGTTATGTGAGTTCACTTAGAGCGGACAACGGAGTTTTTCCTTTAATATGTTTCCGTTGTCTTACAAAACAATCAAAATTTTCAGTGTGTCTGTCGATAGATGGAGACTGAAAACCATGTCCTATGATGTAGATTAGGGCCTAACATTGCGTGACAGAAGGATCGATTCGGCAATGACAGCAATTTAGGCCTGGTCAGCAGCTGTTTCCATAATGTGATTATGCAGCTAGCTATTGAAAGCTTCTTTGTCCACGCTAATATAAGATCCACCGATTTCACGATTTTTCGATCGAGATCATACTCAGGACTCACAACAGCGAAGAGGAATCAAGTAAGTTAAAAATATTATCACGAATTATATCATATTATCACAACAAAACTTTCATCAACTCATGGAGCGTGGATTTTGCCACAGCAAATTAATAAATGAAATTAATAACACTGTAGTTACTCAAATTAAAATCAGAAAAATAGAAGATCCAGCAATTTCAATATTTTGTTGTTCGTTCTCCGAGCTGTTTTCCAGATCTAGCATTTTTTAACTTCTCGAGGGGTGCAAAAGCTGTAAATTATTCAATAGTTTAGGTGTATGGTTTTATTTGGAAATGAGAACTGAAACACTTCATCGCTACAATCTTTTTGTTCGAAATTACATGATCTATTTATTTATCATTTGTTTAAAAAGTTTTTCTAACCTATAATTCATCGCAATAAAATATGAAAAAAAATTTAAATCAAATTTACAACATGTGTGCTGACCGGTGTACATAGTATAGCATGGGTTTTCCAAGAGAAATTTTGTCCTGACATACAAAAAAAGGAAAATAGATAAGGAATTATTTAGGTTGGGACAGATTCGTGAACAATTTTAATAAAATGGAACGGAAGCTAAGTAAGGCAATTTAGTTTACGAATCTGTACGCGCAATCTTATCTCGAAATTCAATAGCGTATTTGTAAGGCGAAATTCACATCGTAATACGAGCATTTGCAACTGAGAATGACATGCACAGTCTCGAAACATGCTTTGTAGACTTAAAAATATTACTTGTTTTGTGCATGCTATTGTCATCATTATTCTTTTTGTCAGCTCTACTCATGATGGTTTTAAATTATGTTGTTTTTAGGTTAAAGGATACTTCCAGCAACCCTTTACTGACGGTCATTGAGGAGAGAGAACGTCTGCAAATAAACCAATAGGGCTTCTATGGGAAAACGACAAGACACACATCAGAGCTCAGAGGATTTTAGTTTAAAAAAGCGTCACCAAATTTGAATTTAAAACGAGTACAATGAAGGCGAATTTTTCAGTGGCTGGAAACAATTCGACTTTCCATGAAATACTTTGTTCATCCTACTTGACAAGTGAGCATCAATATATACTACTGCCCATAAATTTATTCATATCCATTACTGCTTTTCCTGGAAATGTCCTGATAATCATTGCGCTCCAAAGAGTATCTTCGCTTCATCCATCATCGAAACTTTTATTCATTTGCCTCGCTAGCACGGATGTTTGTGTAGGGGTCATATTGCAGCCTCTATACATAAGCTATTTTATGTCACCAGATAACTCTATTCCGTGTTATTACATTGGAGATGTGTCTTACATGCTAACTTTCATATTTTGCGGTGTATCCTTGCAAACATCGACTGCAATTAGTGTGGACAGACTTCTTGCCCTCTTACTGGGTTTAAGATATAGGCATACCATAACCTTGAAGCGAGTGTGGATCTTCGTAATTGCAGCCTGGTTTACAAGCATTTCGAATGCAATATTATACTATTACCAGGAGGCTGTTCCCATGTACCTCGCTTGCATAGTAATGTTATCGAGCATAACAACATCAGCATTCTGTTACGTAAAAATCTACCGTGTACTTCTTCATCACCAAACACAGATACAAGAACATCCTCTTAAAGAAGTACCAAACCGAGGAAGCCGTCTGCTGAACATTGCACGATACAAGAAAACAGTTTCCAGTGCAGTGTGGATCCAAGCCGCCATACTGATTTGCTATCTGCCGTTTATTATAATGACGACAATATATACTATCAGTGAGGAATATACGCCGATCATCGCCTTTCTTTTGGATCTGACAGTATCTTTCGTGCAGTTAAATTCGTCTTTGAATCCAGTCCTTTATTGTTGGAAAATAAGGGACGTACGACGATCAGCCAAGATTTCAATCAGACGTTTATTCGACGCATGTTGTTAGCGGAGTCGAACGAAAAACTCTCAACCTGATTCGAACAACATGTGGGAAACAATGAAAAACAAAAAAATATTAAACTTGCAACAGCAAGGTTCATAAAAAATTGATATCTTGGCTGAAAGTTGTTGGATGGATCGAAGTTTTGTTCGACCGTAGGGAGCTACAACTCGCTCAACGTTCATGGAAATTTTGAAAGTTTGATTTCATTTCATCAGCGTGATACAACTTTAAACATATTGAGGCGGAAAAGCCCAAGGGAGACAGTAAAGGAAAAAAAATCCATTGTAATTTATGTTGGTAGATACTTTTACAAATCATAATCAGGCAATTCACGTTTATGGAAAGCAAAAATTAAAAGATCTGCGTTTGATGTAGGATCGAAATAGACTATAGTTTTAAAAAATAATTATTAAGGCATAATAGATAATGAATGACGGAACTTGTAAATAGAACTGAGATAATACATATACTGCATAAACATGTTATATCTTATGTGTGAACTTGAAATTTATTTTATTCATTAATTTATTACTTTTATTGCCCTTTACATTATTCTCATTGAGTGCTACGGAAAGAAATGCGTGGTTCATCAAGCGGAGGCTGACAATGAATCTTTTCTCGCTTGGAAAATTTTTTTTACCTCAGTGCAAACGACTATTAGGTAGCAAACAAATGTTCTCGTCCCAGTATGGGTTGATGTTTTCTTAGGTATGTGGCTCCGCTGGCTTTCCATTGATCGACTTCGTGGATACTCTGAGGAAGGGTAGTCCCACCATAAATGCGGAGCAGAGGGGTGAAGGGCTACAACTCTCCCAAACGTGCATTTGAGGTGAGTGCATTCTCCCCCCCCCCCCCCCCTTAACCCATGTTTCACTGCGAAAAATATTCTCTCTTAATTGACCCCCCTGGTGCTGGAAAAACTGTCCGCCAAGGGGAGGTGATTGCTTCAGAGAAAAATAAATTTCAAAAACACATTCGAAGGCAGCACATTGATCCACTAATCTTTGTTGATACCTGCTACTCGTTTTGTAAAATGTGTTGCGAGTTTAAAACATGAAACAGACTTGAAAAAAAAAATTTTGCTTTAAGACAGCGATTTACTCTTGCAGCTTTTATTTTCACCACACATTCAGTCGTAACTTCCATTTGACCCTCCTCATTACGGCGAGCTCCCCACTCATAAAGACCTCAAATTAATGGTTCTAAGTGAACGGTTCTATCTAAAAAGCAGCCCCAAGATATAAGATATTGGCTTTGAAATAAGGTTGAGTCCATTCCTAGCTTTGAAATTGCATGACAGCCACCCAGTAAGATGTCAAGAGAAAAAATTACTGAACAAAGTAATTACATCCGACCAACACCAAATGAACAATTACACAAAAAGCTTACAGGACTTTCACTGAATAATAAAATGACAGAATTTAAAAAAGGCTCATTCTGAAGTTAACTCCATTTTTCTTCAAAAACACATTATCGCCAATCGAGCATTACGTAATTTTTTACTATTATAAATAACATATCATCCTTACCAATTCTCTCATGAGAATCTTTCACCGGCGCAACGAAGAACGTCTTAAAAGAGCTTTACTCGTCATCCACTTATGTTAAATGAAAGTAAAGATAGGTGAAAAACTATTATCGTCGGCTCCAATGCTCAACTTTACTGAAAAAGATGTCCTCGGGACAATGCCAGAGCCATTCTGTGTCCATGGGATTAACAGACTAGCCCAAAAAATATTGTTTCCCGTTGAAAATATTCCACTGTCACTAAGTGCAGTTTCTGCAAAACACATTATCGCCAATCGAGTATTACGTAATTTTGTGCCATCATAAATAACATATCATCCTCACGAATCCTCTGTCATGTTGGGAAATCTATTTTTCCACCCAAACTGCGTCGCTTACCGCCAGTTATTCTCCCGGAATATAATGTTTCTCCGAATCCTTTGACAGGGAGAAAGATACTAAGAAATGCCGATGTCATAAACTGAGAAGAAACTCAGTCATAAACGAAACGAAGAGCATATTTTTCCAAGTATATAGTTACTGCTCTCTTAACAGATAAGGAGCGCCGGAAGGTGACACTTTCAACTTAGTATTTGTGCACTTTTATTTTTGCAAATTCTCTGCGTTCTCCTTTCCTCTAGAAGAAGCCAATCGACTTTTCTTCTAAAATCACTGAAAAGCTGCTTGAAAATGTAAAAACTGAAGAAATTAAGGTTTTCATTTAGTCTCATAATTAACGAGAGAGCGGATGATCACGCTTGGGAATTGGGATAGTTTTCACCTTCCGCTCAGATAAAACAATTTAATAAATGAAAATAATAACTAATGAACACTTATTCAAAATTGGAGTACTTCCTAGCGAAATTTTCATTGGCAACAACAGAATGACGTCATAATTTCCGGATATAAAGTGAGAGGTAATATTACTTGTCGGAGTAAGAACAAATACTGCTCTTTACCCGACGGATGTCTATTTACCAAATTGACAGGTAAGATTAATGCTTAACAAAAAAAAAAAAGGGAGAACTTGTATTATGCACGAGAACATCTTCAACAAGCATACTACAAATCATCGATCTCAAGTTTATGTTCTGAAGATCCGAAAATGTCAGAGAAAGTGAATGAGGGTATGCTTTATTCAAGGAAATATTTTTAAGTTTTCCTCGCAACAATTTGATAAAAACCTAGTTAACAATGGAAGAGTTGCCCCAGATGAAAAAAAATTGTGATGAACCCGATTATTATGTGAACATTTTTAGTAAGTACTTGACATGTTCTATATTATGTCAATAGGCTTCCTCTCCCTCTTCAGCGTGTATACATTGCAGGATAAGAATGGGATATAACACAATAACCGCTCTTTAGCTACTTAGTTGCTTTTTGAATAAATGACAAGAAAAGCGAAATTTATTAACGAAGCTTATGTTTCGTCAAGTTCTTTTCAGAACAGAAATACGTGTAACTAATTTTGAACTGGTTTGAAAAAGTAAACAATGAGAAAGCGAGTTTAAACGTTTTTTTTTTTACGTCGTTTGATACCGAAAGAAATTGGCAGAAGTCCCAGGATTTTGAATCTAATATTCAAACATTTGTTTGGGAGCAGCTGTTAAATGCTCTGAAGGCTTGGTTACATTCTTAAATAAAAGTTACATAATATCCCTGGTTTTTTTCTTATCAGCACATAAGTCTTGATATTTCCATGATAATCTTTCACCGGCGCAACGGAGAACGTCTTAAAAGAGCTTTACTCGTCATCCACTTGTGTTAAATGAAAGTAGAGATGGGAGAAAGACCATTATCGTCGGCTCCAATGCTCAACTTTACTGAAGAAGATGTCCTCGGGACAATGCCGGAGCCACTCTGTACCCATGGGATTAACAGACTAGATCAAAAGATATTGTTTTCCGTTGTAAATGTTCCACTGTCACTAAGTGCAGTTTTGGGAAATGCTCTGGTTATGATTGCTCTTTATGAAGTGACCACCCTTCGTCCTCCATATAAACTACTGCTGAGCTGTCTGGCGAGTACGGACCTGTGTGTGGGTCTCACGACTCAACCATTATTCACTGTCCTGCTGTGGACCCAGGAACACTCAACTCCGTGTTTTATGCTAAAGCTCATCGCTCACATCATGGCAACAATCTTTGGAGGGGTGTCGCTGGCCACACTCAGTGCGATCAGCATAGACCGACTCGTAGCTCTTCTGTTGGGTGTGCGATACAGGCAAGTTGTAACTTTGAGAAAAGTGCAGATCTGTGTTACCTCATTTTGGTTCTTGGGTGTTGCAATTGCTATTTTGTACTTTTACCATTTCCTTCTCCCTCTGGTCATCACTGCTATATTAATGCTGCTTTTCATAGTATCATCAACGTTCTGTTACTCAAAAATTTATTGCACTCTAAGCAAAGTGAAAAATGATATCTACCCGGGAGAACCGAGGAGAATTTCAGTCCATTGCCCACAGTTTACGGGGCGATACAGAAAAACAGTATCAAGCACATTATGTATCCAAGTTTCATTGGTATTGTGTTATCTTCCATACGGAACGCTCGTTATCGTTTTTGCAATCACTGGAATACAGTCGCCATCTTTGAACTTTGCATGGGCCGTCGCAGTAACTTTGGTTTTCTTTAACTCAACTTTAAATCCATTTCTTTATTGTTGGAAAAACAGAGAAGTGAAACAAGCAGTGAAGGAAAAGATAAGCCATATGTGCTTCTTCACACGCTAAGTGTCGGGCAAAACCATCGAAAGCAAATATTTTCAGCCTATATTTCAGGCCCCATTCAAACCAGCTTAAAGCTGAACTGGGCCATAAACACCGCTAGTAAATAAATGAATAGAGAAAGAAGTATATTCCTTGCATGATAAAAGTTTCCAAACGTTCAAGGCTTTTTTTTTCTTTCCTTTACTTTGGCAAAGTGTAGGCCTTCTGTCTGCAAAGAATCTTACTGATGCAACTTTGAATTTCATCCACCGCAACCCCTTCCTCCCGAAAAAAAATTCACTAATTTAAAATTGCAGAAAAGTATATCTCTTAGCGCTGCTCTTGTCTTAGAACGTCAAATGGACACCAACATAGGTGTCGTCCATTAGGAGCATTTTTATATTGGTATTCATGCAGCAAACAACAACATTAAAGATTCGCTTTGAAATAAACCGCATCCACTTCAATCATAGCTGTGACCTGAATTTTCTGAAAATAGATCATTATGACAATAAAGCTGAACTACTTAGTCAGTTGAAGTATTGAATCTTTTAAGATTCAACGTTTTAAAAAACGTTGAGTGTTATTTAACAAATTACAACAAATTGCATGTGGTAATATCGTGATGGCTAAAACATTTGCGGCCATCTGTCGGTAGCAAACTATTTCTTTTAATTGGTGAACATGGCTCTCTATCACTTTATCCGATTTACCTCTAAATCTCTATATTGGCCCCAGAGCTCTGAAAAGAGTGACTTAAAACCGGAACTAACCACATGGAAATGATATGACACTATGTTCAAACGAATAAGTGATAATAATGACCGAAAAAACCATGGATTTGTTTTGCACATTGATGCTCCAGGAAAAAGCTGTAAAATCTGAAAAAAAATGATCAGCCTCCAATTTTTAATTGTTATATGTATTGGGTGAGGAATTTTCACGATATTTCTTAATTACAAAGATTCCTCGCCATGGCATGATAACTGCGTGAATTGTATATGTTGCATCCTTTCTCGATGTTTTCATTTCTCTTTATTATTTTCATGACATGATGGTTATGATTGTTATTTTTTCATAGTTGAGGATATATTCTTTTAAAGCTAATCTAAGTCCAGAAGTGTTAAGAAACAAACTACAAAAAGGAGGTCACGATTAAGAGCTTTCTTTCAGTTTTAAGACTGAAACAGCAGTGATTTTACAGTCCTTTAGCTTTAAAAATCAACTTGCAATTAGGTAGGTTTTCCAGCGGTTTGACGAAGACATTCCACATCCATATACGTCTACCCTTTCTGTCCTGTGAACTCCAATCGTATGTTAAGGTTCTGATCTCTTCGTTTGCACAGGTGGCGATCAATTTGAAAGCTTCAGTCACGTGGAGTGTTTGAAAAGTTAACAGTGGACAAAAATAAAACACACACACATTAGAAACTTTGAACAACAATTCTCCAGGAGAGGTAGCAAGGAGAAGAAATATGATGTTAGCAAACGAAAAGAAAAGGGAAATGTTTTACTATAAAACGCAGACCACTGCGCTCATTTAAGGAATAGAAGGGGTTCGATACACAAACTATTGGTTTTTTTTTTTTTTTTCAGTTGCGGTGTTTACCTTTGTCATGTGGTTGAGACATTTATTTACTCAGCCAGCCTCTCCAGCTCTTGATTTCGATTCGGGATAAACCTAATAAGTGTTCTGAGACTTAGGTTTTGAACAGTGAAGTTTATAACGTAGATCAATCCATCGGCAAATCCGTCATGGTTGTGTCATTCAAGAGAAAGTTGCGAATACCCTCGTCGCGATTGAAATGTAGGTTGTCTTTCGAAAACAAGGGTACTAAACCCTCCTGGCTGTCATCACTGGTACGAATTTATAACTTATTTACTGACTACACAAATTTCAGTCAAAGTGCTCAAGATCAGTCGTATTAGTAAAGACAAGCTGCATAGTCATGTTGGTTTTGGATAACAACTATCAATTTGTAAAATATAACACCAAAGTGTATTTTTCATACCTCTGAGGTAATAAATATCTGTCGCAGCTTTTTTCAATATACAAAAAAAGATCCATCAATTCATCAGCAAAATCAGAGGTAGATTTGAACATTCAATATTGTCAAACATTATTTCCTGTATGTCATGCACGATAAGAGGTTAGTTATTACCTTTCATTATAACAAAACAACATAATTAAACAGAACGAATGCTATGCGTGTTCTCTGCCTCACTGAGATTCATTTGAGACACTCCAATCTTTCTCACTTTAAAGAAATCTCCCAAGATAATTTAAGAGAGGAAAGGTGGTACGTTGAAATACGAAACTTTTATAGAAAGAATTAAAATGATGACAATAAATATGTTGATTGATCTGATAATAATAATAATAATAATAATAATAATAAAAAAGGAACTTAACCTAGTGGATGATACTGCTTAACCCTTTTGAACATATTACTTAGTATATATGACGGTGGGTTTTCGCAAAGTCCGTGAAATGTCTCTTTAGCGTAGGATCATCATAAAATCTGATAGAACAAGAGCTTTCCAGTTATTTCGAACCCAGATTCTTTTCACTTGGTGATAGAAATTTCTTTATTTGGATTAACAAGGAAAGTAAATGACAATCCTAAGAGAAAAACAGACGTTATTTTTCAGGATTTTCATCAGGTTCTCCTTGGTGTACTTTCGAAAGTGGTAAAGCGAGTATATGAACCAGAAGTAAATCGATCGGACTGGACACATATTCCTACCTTGCGACCTAGCTACATGACTTTTCTTAAAGGATAATTCTTACGCTAAAAATCTTTGCTTTTACTTTCCTTTAAAATCTATGTGACAAAATAACTATACTTACCATCCTTGCTTGCATTCAATAGAATCATGATAACCAACTATGAAATAAAAGGAAAAAAATCTTAAGACCAACACGGAACCTTTCTATATGATCGGATAATTTTGTTTCAATTTCTATGGCATAAAAAGCAACAGACAGTGACGGATTAGTGCGCTCACCCTTTAAATGCACCTGTGGATGAATATGAAAGAATAAGTTGGCGACATTGAGTTAATCACATTTAGTGTGTTATAAGAACGTGAGCCCTTCAGAAAATGAAACTAAACAAAACTTTCCAGAGACCGGGAGAAGTAGGAAAAGGGAAGGGGTTGTCTTAAACATATACAATCTTTAATCTCCTAATTGTTTTCTATCTTTATGTCGTCAAGAGCTACAGACAGCGACAGGCGGGTGCGTTGGGTGCGTTTAACACTTTCACTTCAATGTCGGTGAAAATGGTGGATAGAGATCCACCTTTTCGGTGAGGATTGTTCATCACCTCATCCCTTACTCGAGTGATGATATTTTGGCAGGTCTCGTTGCTTAATATAATTTTTCTTTTCGACGATTCACAGCAGAACACCTATTGTGCGAGGAAACGACCTAAAATAAAAGCGAAAATGTGCACGTTTCAAATAGTTTTCAAAACCATCTCTAATCAAGGCCAACTTTTAGGAGTAGGTTATAATTAAACGTAAAGTCTTGTTACACAATATTTCGGACGATCAACTTTAAAGCCAAACAGCTGCAAGGAAACTCGTACTCTACTAAGGAATAAAACAATTTGAAATAGAGGAACCAAACAAACGAAACGACATATTAATTAAAGCAGTAGTCAACTGGTGCCTAAAGTTTGTTTATGAAAGCGTTATTCTTCATTTGTTTGATAAATGTAGATAATGAAATTTCAGCTGTCTCACCCATTTAGCACGATGATCGAAAACGCATCTATCGGCGTTCCATGCGTTAATTCGTGTGAGCTTCAAGTCAAAACATGATTTTTTTACTTGTCATTCTGAAAAGTTACAACTTTTTTTCAGAGGTGATGGATTTTTTTTTTACCAATCGGGATTTTTTCCTCTTCCCTCTTTTCTTACAAGGAATGATATTGTTTCGAATATTAATTCCCATTTGTCTAAATAACTGATAGGTGTTCATAAAGTTGATTGTTGTCATCGGTTCAACTTGAAACTTTAATCAGTTTGCTGCAAATCATACAGACATTTTCTGCAGATTTTTTTTTTTGTATTTTTGTTGTAGATATTTATCTACAAACGGAGCGTGGGAAAGATACACATCAGTCCAAAGCAAATTAAAATGAGTTCGCACGTTCATTTAATACCCAAGGACAGATTTGCCAACCTTGGAAAAATCAAACTTTTTCTTGAATGAATCGCTTCAATAGAATTACTGACTAGATTTAAACAGAAAATAGACGGTACTTTGAAAGGCAGACTCTATTAAACAGGTAATAACTTATTCGATTTTTCTTAATTGCTGCACGTTATTGATTCTCAGTCGTTTGCCACTCTCAAGATCCAGAAGTTGAGTATTGATATACATTTCCGATTGCAAAAAAAAAGTTTTACAAAGGAAGAGATGTTTAATTTTCGAGTTTAACTCACCCAGATTATTTAAGATAAAGCTCCACTGCTACACAGAGGTCTGTAGCAGGACTGAAACAAGCGTACCAAGTTGTTGCGGTTGGCACAGGAAACATCCAGCTTTATGGAACTTCAGTAGCAACTAGAAACTAATGGTCGTTTATTAATGTTACGGCTAAGCTACTAGGAACTGTGGGTGATTCAGTGGTGAGTGTGATTTTTCCTACAATACCAAAATTTTTGGCTCAAAAGCAACGGTTGCATAAGTGACAACTGGTGTGATCTCTTCATTCATAGCTTCAGTCCTGTTTAATTTACAGTGTGGTCGCTTTCATGTTGGACGCATAAGTGTTGAGTTTGTAACTCATGATTTTCAACTTGACAAGACCGCTCGAACATTTTGAAAGTGACTTATTATATTTTGGTGAACCATGGCGTCAAATCTTAGATCTAAAATTTAGGACCCCAAATCTAATAATTCTTTGCTTTAATTTTCAATAAAAATGATCTATGTTTTCTATTTCATTATGCCGTTCACAATTCCGTTCACAATTCCAAATGCGTTTAATGTTCACACTAGGTATATAAAACGGTCATCGAATGTTTCTCTTTAAATTTGAAATTAGGCAATTTTCTTTATTACGCATTTTAGAGAATTGTCATGTTTCGCTTTTTTTCTCTTCTGATTGTTAATTATCAGGACAAGTCAAATACTCGCCCAAACTCCGGCGGCGCCCATCTGGAACATTCAGAACACCGCACTCAAGTGATACAAGCTCAGCATTGACAACCTTAACAAACTATAACTTTAGATAGCAGTTTACACTTTGGCTTAAGCTACAATGCAAAACTTAACCTCAAGATTACTGAAGTTAAGGTTATTCAAGGAAGAAGAGAAGGTATTCTTTGCAATTTGGAATATTCTTACTTGTATCACGGCCGTTTGTGGGAATACTTTCATAATTGCATCTATTCGCCGAGTCTCCTCTCTTCATCTGCCATCGAAGGTTTTACTGGTATGCCTTGCCTTGACTGATCTCTGCGTCGGTGTCATTACACAGCCATTGTATGTGGCACACATATTGTTTCCAGAAT